TTTTTCCTATTTTTCTGATTTCAAAAAAATGATGACCTGGTCATGGCACAAGGACTGATTGTAATATGATATGGCTTACTCGTTTGACTATTAAAGTTTCGCGAAAAAGGTATAAACTAACTACTATTCTTCACTTGAATATTGGCGTAGACCATTTTTGTTGTAGGAATAGCCGGACCCGTTACAAAATAAGTTTTCGATTTTTTTAACCAAGTGGAAAAAAGGTTGCTTCTAAATCTGCTCTAATTTTTTTTTGATTGTCATATGAGTCGCTTTTTTCCGACATGTAGTTTTTCATTTATCTTAATTTTCGGTGCAGGAGTTGAGAAAAAGTTTTTTTACACTCAGCATTGTGAATGTAATCTGTGTTCATTGTAGCATTTTTCAATTCTTTTAATTTTGCTCTCTCAGTATGATTATTTAACATTGTTATTAAACTTCGCCTACATGTACATTTCAATTAATAGTTTAACAGCTTTGTTCTCTAATAAAATCTAGGTTTTTTGCATCATAAATTTTCCATTAATTCACCTATATAAAATGGCGTTTTAATTCGACTTTATTCACATCCATCCCTGAACATAATTGACGTTTTTGAGGATGACAGGTTTTAGTTTATAATTTTCGTAAATATATTACAGTTACCTTTCTGATCTGTCACTGTATGAGATGTCAAAATAAATTCCACTAAATTCATGATGTCATGTTTATACATTGAAATTATTTTGTCTTGGATATGTGGTTCTCTTTGTAGCTGTGCCGTATCTGAAGCTGGTTCGCATAAATATTTTTGTGAAACCTCAGTCATCATGGATCATTCATATATATAGTAGTTTCAAATTTTTGTCAAAAAATACCCTTCTGCTTTACTGCGATTCGAGCACAACTTTTGCAAAACACTTCAAAATAGAGCTTTCTTTTGACCATTTTTTAGTAATGGTGACAAGCTTTCTTTTCACTGAGTCCTCATATACCTTGAAGTAGGAATTGTGTTGCGTAATCTTCGACTTAAAATCACCAATTTAATGCTAGATAATATGCAAACACTGCCAGTTTGCATTTGTGTATGGATTTAAAAAGATCTTATATTCATAACAACTCAAGTGACATTCGGTTAATTACAAAATCTACTACTTGACTTACTATATCCTTATATTTATATAGCCACTTTCTTCTTGATTTCACTGGAAGATGAAATATATAATGTTATCTGATTTAAAGCCATGTTATAAAAGTGCTTCATTAATTCAATTTATTCAGTATGCGTAAGCACAGTAAATAATTGACGCCAAAATGCTCCTTGGGATGTTAAAAAATTGAAGTAACCCGGTTTTCTTTAATTTAGGTTTTTAGAAGAGCAGTTTTGAACATGAGTAGAATGATTATTATTCATCCTGTTTGAACTTTTTAATGAAATACACGCATTACGTTTAGCTTAAAAATGTACTACGTTGTGTAACGTCTCTGGCGAGGACCTAAACAGGTAGATGACTGTTAGCCCGTCCCTCTTAGATAGCCACACCATCATGGTTGGCTACCAGGCACACGATAGAAAGATAACTACGGCATACAAATTCAGAGGGCTAGAGCCTAGGGAGAGTTAGAGCGGAGAAAGGGGTAACAGCGAGGAGGGTCGGCTTTGCCCTCAGACTCACGGGCGTGCCTTGAGGAAGGCTAGAGTGCGGGAGGGAAGAGGAGGATAAAAAACAGGCCAGACCGGCGTGCCTGGGTCAAATGGTGCGCGTTACCGTTGTCGGTTTTTAAATATGCAACAGATAATATCTGCATTTAAAGCCTTCAGATAATCAATAAAACACAGGGGCTCGTAAATAAGACAAAAGGTACCGCCTAAAATGTTAGACTAACAGAATGAAAGTTTGCTCGGCTTTTCAATTAGTGGTTACAATGCAATGAATTGACAGGTACAGCTGACACAGTTCAAGTATGCAATGCCTCTCAAAACCTCAAACATCGCTCAAAATTGCTTGGTGGTGTATAATTTATTTAATTATTTATTTTTCTCCGTTTTATGGAGGTATATACTTTTTGTTACAAATAATGAGCGAGCAACAATATGCACGGAAAGCTCTCGAGGAGGTGGTAAGGCTAGCAGATGAGAAGATTTTCGCCACCGAAGAAATTGTACTAAAAAAAGACGAAGATTTCTCTGAATTCGCGCGATCATGCGAAGAAACCGTCAAGGAATTAGACCAATACTTTATTTCAATTATGCGTCAGCTGGAAAAGTGGAAGCACGTATTTATTCAAGTACGTTTTCGCTTCGATTTTAACCTGAGTTGTCAGGAATTGCAGGCTAGCACCTCTGCTGCCGGTTCAGAGTTCCATAAGCGGACGGCTCAAATAAATGAGCTAGTAGGTAGGCTTCGTGAATTGCGTGACGCGTCCGCCCATATCCTGGGAACAGGACAATTTAACAACTCCGACCTCGTTTTTGAGGTACACGGATGTATTTTCAACATCAATCAGGCATTGGAGAATGTAACTGAGTTTTTGGCCGAATGTGTACCACTGAAGTTTGTCGGGAAGCTAAACTTTGAGTCAGTTCAAAAGTCAGACGTTGGCACAATGGAAAGGTTGGCAGACATTAACTACGCTGAGATACTTCCAAGCAAACTACCAAAAATAAAGTTAGGCCAGCTATTTCACTTGGACTTTCGGATTTCCAAAAGGTACTGCGAGGCTGCCAAACGATTCATCACTTATTCAGTAACCAAAGACGACGCTCAATATCAAAAGGTCTGCGCATATTTACATGACAATAAGAATGGTTCGTATGCTCTCAGTTTCCCAATCACAGCCATTATACCCCATACCGTGCATATTTGTTATCTGGGCGAACACATTCGCAACAGCCCTTACACAATCGTCTTCAAGGTGGGACAAAACCAGGGCCCAAATACAGTCGGGGTTGGTGGACAGACCTCTGTCACTGGATATGTTGGTTCATCAAAGGAGATAATGGGGGACGGGGCAAATAATTCGATCAGATTAACAGGCAAGGCAGACGAGGAAAATCGACGAAACAAGTGGAGTGGCAGCTCAACAGACAGTTCCCAGCAAAACAATAACTGGCATCCAGTGATGGGCATTAATAACTCGCCAGAACCAAACCACAATTCAGACTCCACGATGTAAGCCGAATCACTTGTGATTCAGACTAGTGTGTTTTGTCTAGCTCTCTTCATGTGATATCAGTTTCCAGTATGATTCTTCCCTTCAATCTTTTAAAGATGTCTTTCTCACTTTCTCTGAGGCATTATAATTGACGAGAGCAAATAAAAATCCTTATAACACGTCGTATCTTTCTGACAAACTATAAGTTTTCATTAGTTTCAAGCACTTTTTCCGGTATTTGGACACAAGTACTCCACTTTCGTGACCTACAACATTTTTAGATCATTAAATTGAAGATGGTGCCAATTGCACATAAATTAGAGTGAACTGGTTTAGCGTAGTTGATTGCTATTTACACAAAAATTCGGGTAGCTAGGCATTTGGTACCAACAGGAGGAATGATGAACGATTAGGTCATAAACGTTAAGTAGGGGATTTAATCTTCGTGATTTGTTTTTCGGTACTTTGGTGGGCAAGTACAGTCGGCCATAAAGTAAAAACCGCAAGAAACAGGTGGTTCCAGTGTCTACGTGACATTACTACCGATAATCACTAGTATTTAGATTGGAGCCTTTTGCGAAATTGGATGGACTGCCACCAATAAGCATACAGGAGGTGCTTATGCCCTAGACAATTCAGCTGTTCGCAGAGGTCCTTGCATTTAGGAATCGAAAATGGAGGTAATTGGACGCGATGACATATTGCGCAAACTTCGCTATGAACCTTTTGCACAGACCAAACACGACGACCACAGTCCTGCACTGGAAATAGGGGTGGGAAAAAGGGGCAAATTACTCCAAAGATGCATATTTGGTTTATTGAAATTATGCGGCATTTTACAGTAAAAAAAGGCTTCATTGAAAAGAAGCAGAACATTGTGAAAAAAAATATTACGTAGCAGAAACTAGTTACTGAAAAAATAAGAAAGCGCAAGAAGGAATTCACTTTATACATTTAAGAAGAAAATTGAGTGTGATGGAATCAGGGGGACAAGTTGCAGAGCAATCAGCGTTGTGTGCCTTTAGAACGCGCGCGCAAACAGACGTCCATTGGGTATAGCGAACATCCATGCGACGAGCACACTTGGGGTTGGGCGTGAAGCGCGTCTTCAGGGTCTGCGGCGAATTTGTGCATTCGCTGACCCCAGTGACAAGTGTGCTCTGTGGACGGGAGCGTGAAACAGCATCGGCGTAGGAAGCCCAGATACCTAAAAGGAACAAGGAAGTTAAAAGATAATGACGATCATTTTAGACAACGTACGAATTCAAAGTTGGAAACTTGGTGCATAAGCAAAGAAAACAACCAAGTCAACACCACACAATCACAATGTTATGGGCTCTTAACATGACAATAACACAAGCCTTTAAGTCAGACTAGGACGACATAACGGACGTATCATCAAAGATGTTGACTATGGAGCCTTAGTAAACAAAACTGCTTTTAAGCTGAGAATCGTCTAGAGCGACACTAAACAAATCTCTAATGGCACCACAGTGAATGCAACTGACCAGCATTGCGTAAGACTTCCAGCAATATTTAACGCGGCTTTAAGGGAAGGTTAAGTCGCTTTGTCATTCTATTTCAACCCTGTTTACACGACAAAAACAAGATGTCCATTGAATTTGCGCTGTTAGTAGTTGGTTTGTACGGTGGCTCCCAACGTGAAGATGCCAAAAAATACTGCCTACTGAGTAGACGGAAATAATACTAGTTTAAACAACGACCATTGAAATTACGGTGAGTGTTTGTGGGACACAACCGCCTTGGACCGTAAAAGGCAAATCTCACGCGGTTACAATCACTCATGAGGTAATTAAAATCTGATAGAGCACACTAAGAGGACACCATGAATGAAGACGGGGAAGATATGAATGCGCGAAATAAAGTATGGCGATGTTTCATCGAGACTGAATGTTAGGGGGACGACAGAATTCGCATCGCAAAATTCCCAATCACTTTTGCGTTGTTTGCAGAGAAGTCCAGGGAATTTATTTCCGCAGCTTAGATCAAAATTGACCCTCGTCAAACCAAAGACTGTCAGTCGTGGACCTCCGAAATTACACCTTCCGCCAAATTTTGACGCATGACCGTTGCAGTAATGACGAAGATCTTGACTACTTTCTCCCCGTTAAGCCACAGTGCAAACGGTGGGTGTAATTTAAAGAAGAGCATACTCAGTAATAAACAGAAGTTACATCAAGTCATCTCAGATACTGCGAAAAGTCGAGACATTGGTGGAAAACCGAGTGAACGATGCTGAGTTTATAGGAAAGCAATTATCCACAACTTTGTAACCTTCGTAGTTCAGGGGAGAATCAAATTAAGCCCGTCTCTATATGCAAGCAGACTCACCAGCACCAACCCCAGCAGCGATAGCGGCACCGAGGCAACATGTCTCCGAGATGGCGCTTCTTTCAACAGGCAGATTCAGTGTATTTGCTAAGCGCTGCATTAACCAATCCGATCTGGTGAGATTTCCATTTACGCGGAGCACTGATATGTTAGAAGTCAATTCTACAATGAAAGCAAACATAAAAGGTCTCCCTGAGGCTCCATTTAAGAGCTTGCCGGGACGGATGGCCAAGCTCAAACACTTTCCGTAATAACCTTTACTAAAGTTCCCTCTTGCCTGTGACGACGCGCATTTGGCACTCGGCTAGACGTTGACAACCATGGCTTTCTAGAGTTTTCGTACGGTGTCACAGTAATAATGTCCCGGCAACGAAACTATACCTTAATAGTGGACCGAATTAATCGGTGGACAATAAATCCAAACCAATGAAGAATGACTGTGTGATTCACATGAAAAATTAAGTACACAATTGCACGCAGCCCAACGAAAGTCCTTTTACCCAAGTGTAATTCGTCATTAAAATGACAGTTCATTGCTTAGCGAAGGGCAAATGACATGCGTTTAAATGTCAGCGTGAACACTGAGCCTCATGCACACAAAAGTAGGTTGTCGAATTACACAACGACCCAAGCGGTGTTGAGTGCATGGGTGCGCAATCGATCGCTACTACAACTAGGAATATCCCATTAAGACAAATGAAAACCAATCGGGTGGAATAAGGAGGGCAGCCATTTGTGGATGATTGCTTTCAAGAGAGTTCGGACGAGCTAAAGGAAAGCACAACATGCCAAAGATAAGGTGTTAGAGCACGCGATGATGCGCAGAGGTAAAAAACGAGCTCAATCTTTAGAACGATACTACCTGGATAAGTAGAAGGCGTTTCGACGCAGAGCAGACAACACACATTTGAGCAAGAAGTATGAGAACTTTTTAAAATTATCGGCTTACGTGTATTGGCACTTCTGATGAGAAGCCGGGCGGACAGAGCAATCGAGTCCATTACAGCAAATATGGCAGCTTTACGGACTCTTTTTTGAAGGGCCTTTTGGTCAAAACCCGCAGGCAATCCGACAAAGACACCCCCCTCTGTTAGCACACTGTTAGTATTAACGAAGGTGAGTGCTTTCTCTGGGCTGCTGCTCTGGGTGTGCATTTTGCGAGACTCGCAAAAGCCCAACGAAGAGGGCACAAAGAAAGGAGTTGCGTCCTCCTCAATCGCATCAAACCGAGCCATAAAAAAAGGAAAATCGCAAGTTAAAAAAAATAAAGGTTTGTGAGTCTAACGATACTGCCGAAAAAGCTTTAGCATTGCCATCTCTACTAAATCTGACGGCAGTAAAGTTTGTAGGGGCAGTAGTGGCTTAAGAATAGCAATCTTTCGATGTGGTTTTAAGTGATAGCGGTACCAGTTTGCACAGCCAGCTATACATGCGTGGTTCAGAAAGAGAACGTGCGCGCATCATCGTCAGAACCCCGTGGGCCTGAAGACTACGCGTCTTCAAGTAGAGAAAAATTTAGCTCTGCAGCAGGCTGCTAAAGTTTTAAACGCTCTAACAGGACCAATAAAGTTAATCATTAGTGAGCGGATGCCCTCACATAAGTCCCATTCACAGAGATACCACCCACGGGCCATTGCGACACTTGGTTGTGCTCAACCAGAGTGGTGTGGCGACCGTATTCTCACGCACATTTTACCTTGATTTGAGCCTAACCTAATAAAGAGCCTTGGGTGCAAACAAATTAGAGCATGATTTGTCGCAGAGAACTTTGAAACTAAGAGACGATCAGATTGAGTGTCCAAACACTTAAAATGTATCCAATCTAAATGACGTGCCTTCGATAATTTTTAAAACTAAGTAGAGTAATATTAATTAACGACAAGACTGCTGAGCCACACTAACTCTGTTATCGATTGCGCTTGAAAAAATTCATTAACACAAACGAATTATATTGTGCTAGCAGCCTGGAAAAGATCTCTTTATTGTCAATTCAAAGGAACACATTTGAATTTAGCTTGAGCTAGTGTAAAACATGTGATTGCATCTAATTAAGTTGTTTAAAAAGAGTAACCAGGAGAACTTACTAGAGCAGTATGAGAGTATCTCCTCTAGTTCTGAATACGACCGGAAGAATCCTGGTTAATAAATGGACAAGCGAAATTGAGAGCAGTTTGCCACGAGAACGCTTTTTAGTAGACAAATAGAAAGTATACATATAGGTACCGGAGTGGGTCAGCGAAACTTCATCTTCTACTACGGCATGGACCGTGGACAAAGTGTAGCCGGGACAAGGGCACCTCGCCTACCAGGTGAACGCATGAATCCCGAGCACGGACACTTGTAGTGCGTTACGGAAGCTTATGTTACAAGGCTTTTAAGAGACAGCAATCGCTACCAAGTTGGCCAGATTTTAACATGCGACTCACGATACGGAGAGCAAGATTAAGGAAAACAAGGGCTTTAAAGGGGCACCAAGAGTGCCTGTAAATGCGACGTGACGTGAAGCGTATTTGAGCACAAACGTCAACACGACGGTAAAGGATCATTAATTCAGAGAACTACACAATCAATTGAATCAGGTAGCAATAAAATTAGCAGACACTTGACTAATGACGAGAGTGTCATCCTGCAAAACTGAGCGCGTGCTCTAGCTAAAGTCATTCCTCGCCGAAAAAGGCTTCGGTGTGAGCAGGACCGAAGCCCAACTATTGATTAATGCGTCACTAAATCTAATTTCGCTTCGCAAAAAAATCGAAAAAATATTGCTATAAGAACGGTAATGAGCCAAATTAATCCAACAGGCATAAACGCACCTAGCACTACAGAGATTAAATTACGGCCAAAAGTAATTTCATTACCTTAATTTCGAAGTGGTGATGTGAAATCGGAGAAAATGCACGCGTTAGTCAGCACAAAAGGATGATTGCAAAACAGAGTCAGAAAAATGGGATAATATCATAAAGGGTGCAAACATGAACGGCAAAAGTACACAATTATAACCACAGATGTCGTCTTCAGGATGGAAACTTACAATTACCCCGAGACACATTGTCCTCAATACTTAGAAGCGTAATGTAGCTGGGAACGTGGGCATCGGACAAGCAACTTACCGCTGTCTTTAAGTCTGGTAAGCGTGTTCCCGGCATCTGAGTTGAAACCTTCCAACAGATAGGTAACGTTAGATAATTTCGTGTCGGCGATGCGCTCGCAGCTCTCCTCGGCATTGCTTCTCACGGACTGAGCCCAACCGATGACTGGGTAGAAGCCTAGGAAGTGAACATACGTGTGTCTGATGGGCTTCAAGTGACTTAACTTTCGATGGTGACAGCCCTCCTGCTAATCAGTTGCCTCTCTTCAGAGAAAATCGACGATTTAGGAAGCTTGTCGCTTTGGGAATGACAGTTTGCCCATTTGTAGGCCCTTAAAAGTAAGTCGATAGCATTATCAAAAAAGAATAGCTGGGACTGGAGGCTACCAGCCCCGACAATGGACCAACTTAAAACTTGACATCACTGCTACAAATAACAGGGGATTATCCAAAAAACACTAGTATTGGGCCTCCGACAACCACCCACCAGAAGGTGGAGCATGTCTAACTAGAATTACGGGGGTGTACTCCTTGAATAAGACGACAAGATTAATATGCTAAATAGCGAAGTCACACACTATGTAACTTTAAAATCAACAGCACACCTATTGAGGTTCAAACACCCTTTAAGCTCGCGATAGACAGTCAGTAGATGTAAAATAAAAATCGAGCGAAACAACAAAGGACAGCTTATAAAAATTGGTGGAAGACTTCAAAGTAGAATCTCCGCCTATTAAAATCCCACATTATCAGTAGAAAGAAATGGAAAGTCAGCCGATTGAAGTGAGAAATATCGATCCATGACCAAAAAAACCACTGCTACTTCAGAAATGGTCTCTGATAGTGGTACTGATTGGTCCAGTTTCCGTTCAGTGCCACAAAGCCAACGTAAGAACAAATTGATGCCAAAAATAATTTTCACCACATACATTAGAATTTTACTTAGCTTGAGGCATTTTCCCGTCGGAATTCACGGCTCACATAAGGACATTTAAACTAAAAAAATAAAATTTCAAGGAATAATTGAATTTAGCATGAATTTTAGTCGAAATCATGTAAAGAGGAAGAAGTCCCATAATTAGTAAGTACAACGACTGAAACAACGCCACAATGATATGAATTTAATACGTAAAGGTAAATAGCCGTGGAGTTCAAAAATTAAACGCCTCACGACATAACAAAAGTTTCAAATTGCCTAACCCTAACCCTTTGGCTAAGGCCCGATAATATTAATGAGCTGGTTCAAATTAAAAATAACTAAAATTGGAATTTTGAGAAGTTGTTCTAGTTAGAATAGAAACGCACGCCATGATGAAGTAACTGGTTGTCAACACTGGGAAAAAACCACGATGGCGGCGTGAAACGGCTATGTACGAATTTCGGCCCACGTTTTTTTTGTATCAACAGGCAAATACAAAGTCACAGGACCAATCAACTCCTTGGTCAGGCGTGTATGCGTCGGCCAATTGGTGAATTCATAAGGCAATAAGAAGCTAGGCTCAATTTACAACAATTGCGCAATAGGATGTCAAGTCGCCATCGTTAAAGCTGAAACAAGCTCAGTTTTATAAATATATTTAAAGGGAAGTGTGGAACCTACATTGTGTGATTTTTTAAGTGTTAATAAATTTACTAGAGATTGGCCAATGTGAAGGTGACCTGAGTACTGAGTCATCTGCAAACAGACTGGCAGTAAGTTTATCGCGACTACTGCAGTTAGAGCGCAGAAGGTTACGGGTTTAAGTTGACTTTTAACGAGGTAAAACTAGAAAAGCACGCCACCAGAATGACAACTATATCAGTACACAAGAACTTGACAAAGCGCGTAGGAGCGCCGTGATATACGCCGAACCAATCGGGAACCTATCACCACCTAAATCCAGCCATGTGACATGACAAGATTTCCTTTCTTGTAGATTAGAGGTCATTGCCTTAGAGCGGAAGCTGTCACCAAGCCAATGCCACTTAATGCTGAATGCGGAGGTAGAACGACTAACCAGTTTTCGGCGGAATGGCCTTGGATCCGATATTGACATTGAGAAAGGCACCAGTGCCAAGGGTGAGTTTGGCGTCTCCCCTGTTGAGACAGCCCTCGCCCAGCATGGCGGCTTGCGAGTCACCAATGAGCGCGGTAACTCGGACTCTTTTGATGCCGGCGGCCAGTTCCTCTGGGCTCCGACCAAGGGGACCGAAACGAACCTCGCCATAAAAAGTGCTGATGAGAAATAAGCAAGTCTAAACGTGAGACCCATTATTGTCAATGTAATGATATTAAACTCGCCTCACGATTACCTTATTTTGACTAAGTTAGCCATGATTCAAAATCGGTGCTCATAAGCGGGCGCGAGTAACGCAGAATTTGCATCACTTTCTTGGACCAAGGTGAGAGAACCCAAATGAAAGAGGACAGCACCGAACCAGTTAAGGTCAAACAGCTATCGACATTTATGTCATTTATCTTTAAGATTTCGTACAGTCAACTCAGACCGATGACTGGAAAAAAGAGGAAATCCCGATGTCCTGGAGCAGGGTTTATCTACGAGACCTGTTGAGCTAGTCATTGAGTAATCAATTCAAAATGTGACCTGATTTGCGATAACCACCGCAACCACATCCAATTTATAAGCGTCGTGGTCACATCATTCCGCGGTTATGCATAATCAATGCACAAATACAGTGCAAAAAGTTATCATTTATCGTGTGGAATGGATCGACAGTTAATTGATTAAATCGTGAACGTCGAAGGTTAATAGTACGCTCGTTAAATTAACGGTAACACTAACAATGGCGCTATATACGCAAAGTACATACTGTGACTGATCAAACCAGGCCGCATTAATGGAACTTGACGTGACTTTGGGCAGACAATTGACAAAGCCAAGAGCGATCAAAAGAACATGCAAGTAGTAGTTTACGGGAATAAAGGAACAGCATACCTTGTGGGGCATATAGCAGGAAATATTTTCGGGGACATTTCCACAAGATTCATTATAATTGGACTAATGCCAAGCTAAAATACATAACAAGGAAATTGTCAAAACATTGAAATGAGTTAGCTAACGCACCATTTACTGGTTCTAGGTCTAGGCTCAATATTTTTTCACGCTTGCGGTGTTTTTATGAACTCTTAATACAAAAATTTTGATTGTAAACACTGCGTACATCAGCGATAGAAAATATTAAGTTGAGGAACAGTGTGACACTTTGAGCGAAAAGCGTACCTTTTCAAAAGAATGTGGCTAATAACCGTCCAAATACTGACATGATAAATATTGACGAAATAATCATACACATATAAAACTGTAGGGATTAAAACGCAATTACGTGCACATTGCGTAGGCGGATTTATGCTTGGATCAAGGATAAAGTTTATGTTGATTTAGAAACGAATTTAAGGATAGTCACGTCAGTTAAATACATGAATTGCTGAGGGAAGCTTAAATTTCACGACAATGTTAGTTACTTTGCTAGAGAAGGCTTGGAAATAATTCCTTAATGTAGAGAAATAAATGTCAGGTAAATAGGGGATTTGTAGAAAAAAATTACACGAGCACACATTAAACAAGTAAAATTCTCACACACTCGTCTGTTAATTAGTCAACAGGCTTCCACGTTTTTCAGCATATTGGTGACATCGATACAAGACCACGCAGTAATTCTCTTCACATTGTGGTTTACCACATCTTCTGATAACATGAAAGTTTTACAGTGATACAAAATGACAGACTACAACACAGCGGTGTTCTGCAAATTAATTTGGTTTAGCAAAGTAATAATACTAAAACCATGGTGATTCCGGTGTCTGTATGTTCTACTGACCGACAAAATTAATCGGGCAATACGAAATTCGATTTACCCAAAAACAAATCAAATTAAAGACAGAAAACTAGAACTATTCTTTGGTTAAAATTTAGAGGCACTAGCCACTGGCAGATTTCTGATGGTTCGTTGAACGGGATTACTAAATTACGGCATTTAGCTATAGCAATTATGACGCTAAGTGGCAGTTATGTAGTTTAAAAATTACCTCGCGAAATCCGCTTGTTTAATATATTTCAAGATCATACAAGTGACTACACCTTAATTTGCATTTAACGAAAAGGAAATGACATATTTTTCTGTGAAATTAAGTCCGTAAAATCTGAATTCACCTGACATGGATCGAAAGCCCCTGTTGTGCTGATGCAACTGACATCCGTACACCACGCTCTACCGCCCGTCAGTCGCCATAGAAACCATGTCTCTAGGCAACCAAAGACAAGTTCACCTTTGCGACACCTTTCATAGAGCTGAAGTTTATGCAAAAAGACAAAAACAACAAATTAAAGCAGCAACATTGCTTCCAACTTTAGACCAACGTCATAGATCCTATTATATCCGCACTGATTAGCGGCAAACGATTGTCAAACAATGAGCGCCTGTATAAAATTGCCAAAATTGAACTGAACCCATCCACTTCTAACAATTTTTTCAAGATTCGTTTGGCCAATGTTTTACTCAGACTATTTCATGAAATGACTCCTATAAAGATTAGGTAAAATGCCTTCCTCGAAAGACCCAGTTTTGTTTAGGAACATGTTTAAGCAAGAACGGATGCTTTTCAGGTCGTAAACACCAGAACTTCATCAATTGTAACGGACTATAGTTTTCATCACACGTGGAACTGGACTAAGATTAAACCACCCAGTTCTGAATTGCCTGCATTTAATATACCACATTTTTCCACCAACCAACGATCGTCAAATATGATTTTCTGTAAGGAGACTTTCTATTCATCACAGATTGTGTAAGTAATGGATGGGCAGACCCCTAGTGCTGCCACACGAACTCGATTTAGCTTATAGCATTGACTTTGTATACTTTCTCACACGTCTATTGAACACAAATGCTTCTATGGACAGTCAACCCCTGTACAAATACGCCTAATTTGATGAAAACATAATAATTGTGTTAGGGGAGTAAAACATCCAAGAGATTTCATACCTAAACCCGAGGTGTTCTGTTGAAAAGTAGTGAAACAAAATGAAAGTCAACATTGTCATTACGTTGTCATGTTTCTAAATTCATAAATAGGCACCACTGGTTCTGTATTAAATGTCAACCACCTTATAAAGATGCGGCAAACTTTTTAAAAAGAAGTCTGCAATAAGCTGTGGTTATTGACAAGGTCTGAGCACTCACTGTTGGGTCCTCGTCGAACATGTGCGCGAGTCTGGTTACAACAAATATGCAGGTGAGTTTGAAATGGGAAGCCAGTTTAAACTTGGTACATGGAACAATCTTGTAAAGCACTTTTCCAGTTTTGTTGAGGGCCTGAAAGACAAACTGACAGCAAGTGAAGCTGAAAATCCGGTGTAGCAGAATGCAATTGTATCAGGCTATTTGTAGAACGTCGTAGATGAACACAATTTACACCCAATGGACCGACCTTGTTGTAGCGCCAGTAAATTTGAAAAATGCCACAGCAACTCATGTATATCAATTGCTGCACTTTGGCAGAGAGAATTCAGTTGGGTAGATCTAAAGTGTATGGGCTAACAGCACAATTAAGCTAATATAGCATACAGATTAGGTGCATCCAGGCCCTATATGGAGACAGCTAAGCAAAAATAACGCAATACTGGCAAAAGAAATTTTATTTTCTGTATGACTAGGGAACCATTTATTCAACTAGTTAGGAGGCTATTGTGCCTGTGGGCAAAAAACATGAATTATGAACGAGTTTAAATAGATTAGATCTGAATGCAAAAGCGAAATTGCGATGTAAACCCACTTTGATAAAATATGTATTATTGCGGCTGGAGGCGTAAGCTGAAGCATTGGTTTCCTGCCATGTGCAAAGTCTCGAGACAGGTTTCGATGTTTTCCTACGAATGATATCAAAACTACCAGCAACATACCTGTCCCACAGTAGAAAAGTGTTTCGCTGTACCGACAGACCAAGACAGTACACTGCAGAGGAAGGAACGTGGGAACCTAACGATATAAAAAAAAAGAAATTTAACTTACTCTTAAGCACAGAACTTAGAAGGTTACAGAGAACCTGCCAATAGGACTCAGGGTCAAGTTCACCACTGGGGAGTACAGATTCTGCAAGCTAGAAGGAAAATACTCCATTAGAAAATGTTGGATTAAAGACAGTGACGCTCAAAATTAACCGACATACGCTTCTACAACTCTCGTCATAGATCCGCGCGCAAGCATGAGTACTTCCGAAATCAACTGAGACTATTAGACTTTGAGATAAAAAATGACTGTTCAATGACATGGTCTAAATGTAAAAAAACACAAAATTTATTAATGAAAGGTGTTTGGTACAACTTCGATATTAAAGATAAGGGTGTTGCAATTTGACATAACACTAGGACCTATTGTCTAAAGCAGTGACATTTAACGCAAAAAGTAAAGAGCCGGCCCATTTAATGCAAGTGATTCGGGCTTACAAAGACGTTTTGCATCAAATGAGTAATAAATATCCCAACCTAGTAATGTCTAATAGTATCGTACCAACATCAAGGTTTATAACGTAAGGAAAGCTCCTGCATGTAGATGGCAAAAATTTAAGATCGTGGAAATATAGACTATTAAAAGTGTAAAATTTTGCGGTACATTGGATTTACCGACAACTTCCAGCAGAACAAAACGTTATACTTTAAAATTGCAACCTACTGTAGCTGAGAGAAATGCTAAAACGCAGCACAATTCTTCCTAAATGATACTCTTGGTCATTTTATGCTTCCCACAAACTAAAGGTAGGGGGAAACTACTAATAGCTGTTATAAGGAATGGCATTTATACAGCGTATCCAAATACGTCCCACTTTCAGAGAGAACGTCATGTCTCAGGCCTTTATAAGACATTTAATCTCCCCCATCAATAGATAATTCAGAAAAAATTAACGCCACAACCTTAGAGAGTATAATAATTCACTCGCTATTGAAGATTACCTACATAGAGGGTCTCTATACTCCCGATTACTACTGGGATAAATTTTGACAGCGTAGTAGTCTGATAATTAATAAGCAAACGCAACTCAGCTATGCGAAGTAGCTTATTTAAACTTAAGGGAGATAGAAGCTGCAAACAAAATACAAAAATTGACGTTTTGAAAATATTCATCCAGTTAGGTGACGTTAAGCTTACACGGGCTGGTTACTCTATTTGGAGGTTCAAACAGAACAACTTCGAACGTATGACGCAATTCCCCCTAAGTTAGATTAATTACACTTGTTCAAAGTTATAAAGTGCTTGTGTTCAAGTCGGATAACGTGGGTTGTGGATGGATCGACATTCACGGTTTTGTACTGGACATTAAAAGACGCTTTCATTTGAAAAAAAGTAAGTGCCTACATAAGGCTTAAATTCAGTAAAGTAAGCGATAAGCAAACAGTTTTTTTCTAGAATATCATTTGAAGACAACAAACATTCAAATAGTCGTAGCATCCAACTTAATTCGACTAAAATTAGATAAGCAATTTAAAACCAAACCCACCACTAAATATTATGACACTCTAGGTTGAGGAAAGTCTTAGGTGAAGCGTTCTGAACCACACCATGGACATTCAAAAGGCTGTTAAAAATAGTGCACGCGAAATTAACTTCAGCAAAAAGCAGCGGATATGTTAGTATATACAAGCTGGAAGATATGCAATGTAATACAATTGCCCTCGGAGCAATGTGTAACTAACCATCTCAAACACAAAATGACATGTTGTGCGACGCAGAACCCCACTCAATAAGCAAAGCTTTACCCACGTAACCTTCAAACGCCAACACCGATGCATTAAAAACTCGGTCATAATTCAAAAAGACTTTGTAAAGCACCAATTATATGTATGGAAACATTTTTTTAAATCATGTTACATCAATATCAGTTACTTTTTTTTAAAAATTAGTGTGGTTCTTTGTGTGTAAGCTCAAACTATTCTCAACATACTTGGGGTCAGGAATAGCATATTTTAGATTCTCACAAGCAGCAACAATCTACTTAAAATGACTACAGATTGCAAAATTAGATCATCATTTGTTTTTAACTAACATGCATTTCTATTGACTGAATCCCATTATTATTTGTCCCATTTTTACGCTTCTATGTGCTCATTGTCAGGTAGATCACTGGTATTACAATCCTATTTATAATTAGGCTACTCTACCAGCTGAGTAAATATGCATAATATCAGAAACATAACATTGAAATGCTAACTAAAATCAAGAGTTTTTTAGAGTTATGGATATTTATTTTGATGGTACTTACACTCTTACCGTTCGGGTTCCACAAAATACAGTTTGTTTACTTGGAATCAAAATTCGAAGCCAACTAACCCCCATCAGTTTTTCAAGAGTGAAGACGTGTGTTAATTTGTTTAAAAGCTCTTTTTTTAGAACTATGGTGCCATTTCTGTCTTGTTGCCGGAAATACCTCAGTAAATCACGGCTAATGCTATCAGAAAGAAATCGTTGTCCTGTCGGCAGACACTTGGCTGTGGTCTTAGATGAGTCTAGCTAGCAATTTAACGTTTGGATTTCCCTCCTGATTCATTTTTAGTAAAACAAATTTCTATCAATGTTTTGGAATGGATTTTAGCACTGTGGGAATTGAGCTGACTTGACAAGTATGGGGATTCGTGGGGATCCTCAGGACGACATCTATGCAGGCACGAACGACTTATTACTGCTTCGGTTTAAAGAGCAATTCCGTTTGAACATTTCCACTGTTTTTGCTGTAACATAGCCACCATGCAGTTTCATTAAGTTTCATGTCAGTGTCTGGATTGGAGTATAGGTACAAAGACCTTATTAAGTTTGCATTTATTCATTGCCAAAATGATGGAATGTCGCCTTTTCCTTTCTATAAAATCAAATTCTTGAATACGAATTAAGCCCTCTAGATACAGCCAGGAAATTTTAACAACTCCTTGATTTGCACCATGTTAGGTTTACTTGTCAAATTGAACAAGTAGTAGGTAATTATTACTCCCTAGTGGTACATGTTGTTGTGCTGAAGTTTTGTGCACAAATCCGCTGTGCCAAATTGCTTCCCAAATTATTTGGTCTAAAAGACGAGGACTGTGATGAGGTGGCAATAATACTTTCCAAAGCCAACTGTCTTTTGCAGTGGCCCTTCGTGTTCCAGATCAATAACCGAAGCTTTAATGGTAGTGTTAATAAATCC